CTAAACATATTTATCTTACTATACTAAAATCTCATAGTGACCTAAAACTTAACCTTTTCTCGAAATCAAACCCTAATTGTTTTCTTTAAGGGGAAATTTTATTCTGGGGGGGGGGGGGGGGGGGGGGGTAAATGCACAAGGAGTTTATTGTTTTGATGGGAGTTAAGTCATGATAATTTTAACTGTTTAGAAATGTCTCTCCCCCCTCTCACTATCTGGGAGGTTTTTAATTGATTAGCACCGACCCACAGCAGCCGTCTCTCTCTCTCTCTCTCTCTCTCGATAAGCTTTTGTCATTTGTCATTAGAATCTTCATACAGATTCTAATGGCTTTAGCTTTTATATTTTATAAAATCTGTATATATATATATATATATGTTACGGTCAAAGCCCGAAGTGCGGCCAAACCCCGGATTGGCCGGCCAATGCGCGGATTGGCCGGCTCTCTTGGCCAAAGCCCGAAGAACTTAGAACTAAGATCGTATTTCGTACATTGGCCGGCCAATGCGCGCACTGGCCGGGACGTACTGGCCAAAGTCCGAAGTACTTAAACTTGACAGCGTATTTTGTACATTGGCCGGTCAATGCGCGCATTGGCCGGGATGTCCTGGCCAATGTTGTATCTAGACTAAGTTGTGATCGCGTTTTAATTATTCTGGGTGCGGTTTCATTGTGAGTAACGTATTGTTTAGCTCTTGTTTGTATAGCATTCTATATGCAAGGCGACATGGATCAAAAGGGCCGTCAGACCATGAGACAGACATAGCAAATGGCTGTCAAAAGAAAAAAATGTAAATCCATGTTAGTTTCCATACATGGGCTACAACTGTATGTGACAGCCTCCTCCATGATGACGAGATGAGACAATCATCAAAGAACAAAATCAAAGACAGTCGGCGTCACCGACCACGTGCAACAAGACGGAACGTTCAAAAGACTTTTCCGCGTTCCTAGATGTTTAAAACATGATGATGACATGGATGCAAACAAATGAATCAGCTCATTGGGCTGAGAGTCTCAAATTCATTTAATTTATGAAAAATCGTTCTTTTCATCAAGGAATCCAACAATCACCATACGAAGCCTTGTTTGGATGCAAAGCAAAAGTGGGACTTAGCACTTCAAATCTACCAAGAGAGGCTCTCAATAAAATAGTTACTGAGGAAGATCTTGAGAACATTGAACAAGAAATAGAGGTTGCCATAAATGCAACGACATCCTCAGCTAACACATCTGCTGCCGTGGCGGAACGTCCAGACCAGTTGCGTGACAATAATGTGGCCAATAGATTCTGTATAGTTTGTGAAAAACATTGTAGTGCAGCTCATTCTTGTGGATCCTGTGGCAACGATGTGCATGCTATTTGTGGAATACTCAATGAAGCAGACGAAGGGTACGGAGGGAACATTACCTGCAGATTGTGTCACAACAAACAAGACATCATGGAACACAGGTCAGCAGCTCATACTGGCTTGCAAAATCAAGGTGCTAAGATGCTTAAAACATCAAATACAAAATTTAAAGATGGTGAAGTGGGTGACAATGTACGCATCCGTGTTCCAGATGTTGACAGAGGTCGCGGTGATCCCCGAAGCGTGATTGCAGTTGTCATGAGCGTCGAGGGCGGTTTCTACAAATTAGGAACGGAACATGGTGTTCTAAAACAACTGTATGCTAGAAGTGAGTTTTCAATTCTTCACGAAAAACTGCTCTTATTGTCGTCAGTTGGCACTGAGGAAAAATCACTACGAACCATCGCATCTTCATCGCATCTTCACAATCATTGACTGGGGGCCAAGGCTACACTCGCTGCAATTGCACAACCAAGTGTACAACAAATCGCTGCAAGTGTAAAAATAACAAGCTGCTATGTAATTCTAAATGCCATAAAAGTTCAACTTGTTGTAACAAATGATACTATTGATTGATTGAGACTATAGTACAATAAAAAATTTGAATGTTTCTGTCATTTACTTTAATTAATAATAAATAAAGACTTAATTTCATGATCCTGCCGGCATAAAAAAAACCAAAATCTGCTCATGATCTTCTAATTAAGACTTTGGCCGGTCCACCATGGCCAGTCCGCGGACTGGCCGGGACTGGCCGGCCAAAGGCCGAAATCAAGAGCTATTTCAGACTTTGGCCGGTCCACAATGGCCAGTCTGCGGATTGGCCGGCCAAAGGCCGAAATGAAGCAAAGTTTCGGACTTTGACCGACCTATGGGAGGCGATATTGGCCAATGCGCGGATTGGCCGGCCAATCCTAGCATTGGCCGACTTCGGGCTTTGACCGTAACATATATATATATATATATATATATATATATATATATATATATATATATATATATATATATATATATATATATATATATATATATATATACAAATATACATATATACATATACAAATATACATATATATATATATATATATATATATATATATTAGTGACACGACAAATGTTTTCAAACTGTCCCAGAAAAAATATCTCAC